TAGTTAGTTATTATTTTGGAAAAAACTTTATGAATATTAAAGATGTACTAAAAATAACATGTGATTACGAGATACCAGATACTTGATAACAGAGATTTAGTCAAGAGGTACTAGATTAACAGATACTAAACAGATACAAAACAGAAAAATTTACCAAAAATATACTTATATTTAATAATATTAATAATATTAATAGATGAAGATACATTCTTTACATTCTTAATAATCTTCAATAAGAAAGGATAAGATAAAAATTCCAGTTACTGTTAAATGTGACAATAGTAACATTATTTACATGTGTTCTGAATTAATTAATTTTATGAAAAACTATTTTTTAGAAGCGATATCTTTTCAATAAATTGAAAGAAATCATGTCAAACAAAGAAGGAACTGTTAATTTAAGTGTTACAGATTTTAATATTATACTTACTGAAGGAGGAATGTTAAATGATACTCATATTGATGAATTCGAAAAATTATTGAGAAGGGAATCAAATTCTGCTTTTAGCATGCAAAGCACTTTGTATTTTTATACGCTTGAATTTATTAGTCCGATTGAAAAAGGTAAAAAGCATATTCAAACACTTTTTAGTGGACCTATCAAGAAAGGTCATTGGATTTGCACTTATTATGATGGAATGAGACTTTATATGTGACGCGACACGAGAAAAGGGACCTATCGTTAAAAAAATCGATTTTGAGATTATGGTGCTATTCGACAGATTATTCTTTGCTCTTTCACGTGAAAAAATCAAAAGTTGAAAAACTTAAATAGTGTTAATAATATAAAGCCCGAAAGTTAAGCATGTAAGCGTAAATACACGGGTTTTCTGCGCATGGCGTCGCTTTAAACGCTCTCCCTGTAAAATTCTCCTTTGCGGCGATAGGTCCCTTTTCTCGTGTCGCGTCACATATTTATGATAGTCTTAATGAAGGATGTTTAAATGAAGATCAAAGGAAATATTTAAGTAGATTATATCCTTTTAAACCTCCAGTAGTTTTCACAACTGTTGATCAACAACCAAACAATAATCTTGCTTGTGGAATATATGCAATAGCATTCGCAACATCGATATTTTTTAATATTATGCCCCACTCTGTCAATTACTATTATTATAACATGAGAAATCATTTAATGTTAATGTTCAAAAACAATCGTTTAAGTAAATTACCGTCAGTAAGGTCGACTAATATTAGAACTATGACTGTTGAATGTAATTGGGAGTGTCTTCTTAGAAATCGAGCTAGAGAAAAAAGTTTCCAAAATGAAGAAAATAAAATTGTTGACAATAATTTATCACCGTTGAATTCAACCAGCAATGTTTGTAAAAAAAATTTTGTTGATAGTTGTTTAGAAGATTTGCCTTTAATTCCAGCAAATGATGTTAATAATATTTCTATTGATTCAAGCAATGGAATGAAAGATACAAGATTAATAATAACTGAGAAGCAAGGAGAAAAAAGAGCTATGGTTCATTTTCCTGAAGAAGAGGAAAAATATAAAATCATAAAACGTCAAAAAAAAGCTGCTTATCAAAAAAAATATCGACAAAAAAAGCGAGAAAATAATAAAATTGTTCGCTCTGAATCAATGGATTATAATGAATTCATTAGTGCAGAGCAAACTTTAAATACGAGGCCCCAAAGCACATCTACAGCTTTATCATCAGCAGAAGAAAATATTTCTACTTCTAAAGTTAAAACGTCAATTCGTGACAGAAATGTTGCTTACAAGCGCACCTTTCGACAAAATAAACATACTTCTGTTCAAAAACAAAATCAGTCTGATATTATTTCAAAGTCACATATAGAGATGGGTTATTGTAATGAAATGAACATTACACGTGATCATTTTTATGTAAAACTTTGTGAACATAAAGTTAACAGTGAATTATTTATAAAATCAAAAACTAATGATGATTGTAATGATTCAAGAAATGTTACAAAATATACTAGGGTGATTCTCCAAAAAACCTCATTTTGCATGTAATCAAAATTTTCTAAATAATTATAATCATTTGGGAAAATACCAAGTCATATTTCCCTATTTTATCACTTTTTCTAAATGTTCTGCAAGAAAAAGTTGTAAAATTTTATTGTTTAATACATTTTTAAAATATTTTACTACCTCAAAATCGATTTTCTAACCTGTCATCTAAGTGCTTTTCATTTTTTCAATAGGTAAAACAATTATTTAAAACATGAAAATTGGTACTTTATTAATTTTTTCTAAAAGTTATGATATTTAAGAATAATTTTCAAAAATATAAATAAAATATGTCGTGTAGTTTTTTTAAATATAGAAAATGAAATTTGTCATGTAGTACCGCGTCATTCCTCTCACTCGTTTAATATTATCCAATATTTTTGCTGTGGGTAGAGATATTGATTAATTATTGTGATCAATATTTAAATTAACATCTCTAATATTAATTTCTTAAGTTACTTTTTAAAAAATGTCATTATTTTGCGTTAAAAAAATTAAAATTGAGACATAAGCAGAGATTCACAACCTAAAGCGTCATTCCTCTCACCCCTAATAAAAACAATATTAATATATATAAATTGATCGCAAATTTTTTTCACATAAAGTTATCCTTTATAAACATGATAGGGCATTCTAAGCTGGAGGAAAATTATTTGTCAATTAAATAAAATTAAAAAATGTTGAAATCGTCATTCCTCTCACCCGTCATTCCTCTCACTTTTTTGAATAAAAATTAAAAATTGATATGATTGTCGGTTGTTTACAAACTGCCAGTGAAAAGTGAACCTAAAATGTATGAAAAATAATTTTTGACAATTGTTTAAAAAGATTTTTGATAACTGTAAGTATTTCAAAATCTATAAAATTTATAGATAATATTAATAAATTATAATTTTTAAATAATTTTTTGTAAATAGAAAAATATATATAATAAAAAACGCCGGCGCCAAATTTTAACCTCTTAATTTTTTTGAAAATTTTAATTTAAAATATATAGTTTAAAAGCTAAAAGTTAGCATGATCATGCTATAGAGGTGGTAGATTTTTGAAAGCTCAATATAATTGACTGCATTAATCCATAAATAATAATTTTTTTTCTTTTCTGTTTGTAACTCACAAAAAGGAGTATTTCGGGAGAATCACCCACTAATTTAAGAAATGAAAATCAAGTAAAAAAAAGATCAATAATACGTTCTTTAGAGGAAGAAGAACAACATCAAGTCATGAAACTTTAAAAGAAAGCTGCTTATCAAAGAAAGTTTCGACAAAAAAAACAAGAGAATAATAGAATTCTTAACCCTCAATCACTTCAAACAAAGGACAGTATTATTACAGTGTCAAAATCAAATATAAATTCAGAAAAATCCTCTACAACTGTTACTACATCTTTGGCAAAAGATAATGTAACTGTTACAGCAAATTTAGCAAATACTAATATTTCCGGTCGTCAAAAAAATGTAGCTTATCAAAAAACTCATAGCCAAAAAAAACGGGATTTTGCACAGAATCAAAATTTCTCTGACAGTATTTCAGTCTCGCATATAGAAGAACATTTTGCTGGTGCGATGAACATTTCATGTGAGCATTGTAATGCTAAACATTTCCAAGCAGAAAGAGTATCTAATAAAAAAAATTCATTTCATGATTGTTGTAAACATGTCGAAGTCAACGCTAACTTAGTTAATTTTAACAATAGACGACCAGGACCATATTGTTTCAAAATACATGGTCAGGTTTATTATCAAATGAATACATCTTTGTATGCAGAAAGGAACGATACTCCTTCATTTGGACAGTTATTTATTGTTGATCAAAACGAAGCTTCCGAAATTTGTTGTAAGAATAATGTTCAATTAAACCGAGATATTGTTGATGGAATTTAAACAGCCCTTCGGGATTGTAACCTATTTGCACAGCCCTACCGTATGATGCATGAAAAAATTAAAAAAACAATGACTGACAATAATGCAGAAATTTAGCCTGAAATGCAATTATTATTTTCATTAAAGCCTGGGATGGATAGTAGACGTTATAATTTACAAAGTGTCAATGAAGTTGCAGCAATTTTTACTACAACTGCTGATGGTGATATTCCAGAATCATATGTTACCGTATATAATAAGAATACAAAAAGTTTACAATATATAAGTTCTATGAATCCTAATGTTGAGCCATGGATATATCCTTTATTTTATCCACATGGAACAAGAGGTTGGGACAAAAATCTGACCTGCGCTAATACAAATAAACGTGTATCAAGAGCTGCATACATCAGGCATAGAATGGCTTCTAGGGACAACAATGTATTTTTAAAGGGTGGTAGATTATTTCAGCAATGGATTGTCGACAGTTATGTGAAAATTAAAAAGTTAGGACAAATTTCTGTCGAAATAATCAAAAGAAACTTCGTGCAGATACTTACGAAGGTCTAATTGATCATTTACAAAGAAGAGCTGATGATTCGAACAATGAAGTTGGGAAAATTGTAATACTTCCATCATCTTTCAAAAGTTCTCCGAGAAATATGTTACAGCATTACCAAGATGCAATGGCTATTGTGAGAAAATTTGGTAAACCTGATCTTTTTATTACGATGACGTGTAATCCAAACTGGCGTGAAATTAAGGAAAATTTATTACCTAACCAAACTGCCTTTGACAGACCAGATATTGTATCGCGTGTTTTTACCATAAAAAAAGATAAACTTATTAATACTATTGTAAAGGAACAATTATTTGGCGAAGTGATTGCTTATGTGTATGTCATTGAATATCAAAAACGTGGATTGCCGCATATGCATTTATTAGTGACTTTGAAACAAAATTATAAAATAACAACACCCGAGATTGTAGACAAATATATTTCGGCAGAAATTCCAAGTCAATCAGAAAATGTTATACTTCATGACATCGTTATGAAAAATATGATTCATGGCCCATGTGGAAATTGGTGTAAAGATAATAATAGTAAATGTTTGAAAGGTTTCCCAAAACAATTCTGTTCTGAGACAATAATGGATGAAAACGGATACCCAACGTATCGCTGCCTTAATACAGGACAATACGATCGCCTAAATGGAGGAACTACAGATAATCAATACGTTATTCCATACAATCCTACATTACTTCAGTTATTTAATTGTCATATTAATGTAGAAGTAGTTTCAAGTATTAAATCCGTAAAATATTTGTATAAATATATTTTTAAGGGACTTTAAGGGACATGATGCTGCTGCTGTAGTAATTACCGATAGTAGTTCTTTAGAATATGATGAAATAAAAAACTTTATTGAAACTCGATATGTTAGTCCTGTTGAAGCATGTGATAAAATATTTGGTAGACCATTACAGAGTAAAAGTCATCCTATTCTCCGATTACCTGTTCATTTAATTAATCGGCATACTGTAACCATTAGTGAAGAAGCAAATGATGATGCTATAAATGAAGCTTTACAGAAACGGACTATGTTATTAGAATACTTCGATTTAAATAGGCGTGATCCACAAGCTAGACAATATATATATGCAGAAATTCCATGTTATTATGTTTTTAAGAAAGAACGTGGTGAAAATACATTAAAATGGGTGAAGCGTAAAGGGTCATTTAATGTCATTGGACGGATGTATTCAATTTCGCCCAGTCAATCAAAACTGTTTCATCTTAGATTACTTTTAATAGTAGTTAAAGGCGCTACAAGTTATGATCATCTGCAAACTGTCAACAATATTGTACATGACACTTTTCGTAGTGCATGTTTAGCATTAGGCCTTATTGAAGATGATGAAGAATGGGAACGTGCTTTGACAGAAGGAGAAGTATGGATGATGCCACAACAATTAAGACGTTTATTTGTGCGTATTTTAATTTATTGCCATCCAGTTCATCCAAACGAACTTTGGGTAAAGTTTAAAGAGGCTATGTCTGAAGATTATCAGAAAAATTATCCATCTAATGAAGCTCATAAAAGAGCATATAATTATATAATTAACTTTCTGTTGCATGAAGGATCAAATATTCGCAATTTTTTTTTGAAATGATACAGTTAAATGAAATAAGTATTGAAACAGAAAATCAAACGAACAACAAAATGTCATTACAACAACATAAAGAGATTGGTAAAATGCAATATGTGAAACTGAATTCCAAACAGAAGGATATTGTTGATGAAGTATTAAATGTAGTTATCCAAGATAAAAGAATACCATCTTCTTCATGTTATTACATTGATGGACTAGGTGTATCCGGAAAAACTTTTGTTTATACAACTTTATACCATTTGTTAAGAAGTAAAGGAAAAATTGTTTGTACTATGGCATTAACAGGCATTGCCGCAATATTACTTCCCCGTGGTAAAACTGTACATAAAACATTTGGGATGCCTGTTACATTGTTCTATGACTCTACATCAAATATTCAAAGTCAATCTAAGGAAGCTACATTTTTGAAAGAGGTTGATGTCTTTATTTAGGATGAAGCTCCAATGGCGCCAAGATATGCTATGGAATTAATTGATAGAACATTACGCGATTTTATGAATGTTGATATGCCATTTGGTGGAAAAACTATGCTTTTGGGTGGTGATTTTAGACAATTATTGCCTGTTAAAGTTAATGCTACTAGAAGCGAATTAGTTAATTTATCTATTAAATCTAGCACATTATGGAGTCATTTTAAGGTGATATCATTAACAGAAAATATGAGAACTTTACCTGGTGAAAAAGAATTTTCAGAATATTTATTATCAGTTGGAAATGGTACTTTAAATGATAATGATAATAATATACTAGCACCAGAGCAATGTGTAGAAAATGGTGATATCATTCATAAAATATTTGGAGAATTAATTATCAATAATAAATACGATGATTTAGCAAAAGTAGCAATATTGTCTGCTCGAAATGTTGATGTTGATGAAATTAAAAACAAGGTGCTCGAACTGTTTGATAATAAAAGTGAGCGAATTTATACAAGTGTTGATAGTACCGAAAATTGTGATAATGGAAGTATAAATGATGCTATTTTACCAGAGTATTTGAATACTTTAAATCCATCAAATTTCCCGCCTTATGAATTACGATTAAGAGCCAATTGTATTGTCATGCTACTTCGAAATCTTAGTATTAATGAAGGTTTATGTAATGGAACGCGAATGCAGGTATTAGAACTATCAAACAATCTGCTACGTTGTCGTATTTTAACAGGTGATAATCTTGGGAATCATTAATTATATATTTAGGAAATCAAAGACCTAATTTACTAATCAAGAATTATGTTTACACTGAATTATTGAAATAAAAGTAAATATTTTTTCTATAAAAATGTCTGAGTCGTTATATATTTTTTTTTCTTAAAAAAGGAGTGTGTCTCAGTATGGCTGTCTTTACGCGTAAGACTTTCTTCGACGCTTGTTATTGGTAAATTATGTCATTTTTTTGTAATAAGATTCACACGTAAGATTTCTATACACGTTTCTTTCTTATCAATTGGTCAAAGACGTTTTAATTTCCTAATTTAAAATAATAGTTCAAACTTCAGATAATTAAGTCACTTATTTGTACGTATTTTAATGTACTGCCAACCAGTTCATCCAAATGAACTTTGAAAAAAGTTTAAAGATAATATTTCTCAAGATTATTAACGAAATTTTGCATCCCATGAATCTTATAGAAAAGCATATATTGAAATAAATTATTTTCTTCGAAATGACGGAGTACTTACATTTTTTGTATAATATTTACAGAAACCACACTTATATTTCTTTTTTATAGCAAAAGTAGGAACGATTTTAAGAAACAAAAGTAAATTTTTAATTTAATATCCTCAGTTTATGGCTTTCTTTGACAGTAGAGATGTTTTTTTGCTAGCTAAGTGAAAAATAGTTAAAAATTGTTTATTTAGTAACGTTTTTCTTTCATCACTATTTTTTAAAATATAAATTTACTATGGAAGATTTTAAATGTTACAAAATTTAATTAACAAATAGATTACTTTGATTATAAAAAGGTTTTCTATTACTTCATCGTACAAAACTTTTTATAAAATGTGCCATTCTTGAAATATACGCTTTTCTTTAAGCAAAGAAAAGTGTTGTTTTTTTTATCAAAACCATAAACTTTAGAAATGATACATTTAGAAACAGATAAAGACAGAACTAAAAGTGTAAGGCCGCAGTCCCATGGCAGCGTTTTGCGTTGCGTTGTAATGAGAGAGAATGCATCAAACGTATATTTGCGTCTTTTTCTCTCCCATTACGACGCAACGCAAAACGCTGTCATGGGACTCCACCCTTAAGGTATAAAAAATTGTTTTACGCACAACATAGGCTATTATTTTATTAAATTGAATAATATTTAAAAATTCCTATTATCAGAAACTGTCACTCAAATTGATACCTTAACAAACAAAAGACTGTAATTTAAAGAATAAAAATGCAAGAGAAAAAACGCGCGCGCGGCAGCGCGCGATCGTTCTTGTTATTTATAAAGATAATTGAAATTTGGACGAAAATTTTTAAGAATTTCTGAAAATAATTGAATGTTTGGAAGAATTTTATTACTTTTGGAAATAATTGAATTTCTGCAATCATTTGTAATTTCTCTAAAATTCCCTAAATTATATCATACAATTTACAAACTTTTCGTCCTTTTTCAATCAAATTTTGCTTTTGCAATCGACCACAAAGTTGATGAATAAATTCATCACTCATTAAAACCTCTGTCTTCAAGGTACATCGATCAGTCTCTTCCCAAACTTGAAATTCTACTGAATCAATAGAATTTTGATCTAATAGGCTTTGAAGGTAATCTTGAATAACATCAATCCCCGGGCAGTTTGTGCATTCATTTAGGTGACAAGCAGGACTAGGTACTGTACACATTAAACATTTTAAACAATCTTTATAATTTTTTATTTGTAAAGTTGAATTTTTTGTCAGTTCTTTATTATTTATTGCTTGTAACATAAGATTTACGTTCTCATGATGCACACATACGCAAACATTATGTGTGCCACTAGATCCTGCCAGTACTCAATATTGAGGTCGAAGTTGAGCGAATTTCGAAAATCCAATTTTAATAATTGGATTTTTCGTTTTAAATGCTTCAAACAACTCAGACAGATTGCAAAGAATTAGCCTTTTTGAAAGTGTTCACGAGTACCATCTTGTATTTTTACAGAAACAAAATCCTTCATTTCTGGTAAGAGTCGACTATTTTCATCGTTTTCGTAGAAATCTTTAATTCTTTTTTCATTCTCAGAGGCTAATTTTTTACCTCCCAATTTTGGATTCGGCGAAGCTAATATCCCATGTTCAGCTACTAACTTTTTCGCTCGGTTAGCTTGGCGCTCAGAACAACCAAATTCTTTCATCATTTTAGTGCGATCCCAAGATGCAGGTGCAAGAGTTAGGAGTACAATTTTTTCCGAATCAATTTCATCACTGTGGTCGGAAGGAATTTCGAGATCTGCAGAAAAATTTGTATAAGTGTCAAACACATAATTATCAGAGTCATCTTTCGATAGTTTTCGTTTTTCTGGAAGTTTTTGAATTTTCTTTCTACATGTCCAGCATAATTTTACATCCAGTGGGACATTTTCTGGTAATTTTTCCACTATATTTTTAGAAGGAAATCTTTAATCTTTCCATGATTTTTTTCTTGAAACGGGTTAAAACACCGATCTCTCCAAAGAGTATTGGTTGATTCCATAATGACGAATTAACAAGTAGAAAATAATGTGAAATGATAGCACACAATAAAGCTAAAGCGGCGTCCCTTTTCGAAGCGTCGCGTCGGTGATCGCGAATATGAGTTCCTTGTGCTGAAGTGCTGTGGTGAAAATCAAGGGGAATACGTTCCTATTGTGCTACTTGAAAAGGTGTAAATATTTTTTTTTTGCAAGTGAGGCAAATTTAAAGAAATTGGAGTTTAGTGCAGTGTCTTGAGGACTTATAGCAAGTTGCTAACAAGATGGCTGATACGTCTAGCACGGAAATGTTGAAGAAATCACCACATGATTTTTTGGTCACTGAGTTGAAGGAGAAACTTAAGGCTGCAAATCTTAGCACAGCTGGAAACAAAAGTGAACTCATATTGCGACTTCAGGAGAATTTTCCGGATGGATCATGGCTACTGGAAGAAGGCCGGTTGGAATAAAATCACGAGGAGAATGATGAGTTTGAGGAGGAAGATGAACTCGAATTGGCAGCGAAAGAAAATGAGACCCTGTTGATGGATCTAGCAGAAGCTAAAAGGCAGATTGATGAACTTCGTTTGATAGCTGAAAAAAAGAAGCAAGATGAGGATTATCAGCAAAAATTAAGAGAAGTTGCAGAACAAAAAGCAGCCATATCTCGACAATTGGAGCAAGCGAGAAATGAGTTGGAAGCTTTGCGACTTTCTGTTGCTGGAAATATACAAGGAGAAGGAGAAAACCACAGGACAGGAGGTGGGAGTCACAGAGGATCATTGCGAGAAAGCCTGAACACAATCGGGGGAAATGGTGGGAGAGGGCTCCAATTACCAAGAGTCTTTTCAGGAAATTTTGTACCTCAAGCGAATTTGTCTGGAGCTTCAAAAATAAGTATTTCTGCTATTAGAGACCTTCTGAGCACATTCGATGGATCAGCTGAGAATATGGATGGGTGGGAGAAACAAGTAAAATTATTACGATCCGCATATCACCTGGAAGACGATGTCACCCGAGTGCTGATATGTTCTCATCTGAAGGGGAAGGCTCTAGATTGGTTCCACTCAAAACCGGAGCTCATCGAAATGAGCGCAGATGCATTGCTTGCGGAGGTTCGGAAGATGTTTTTTCGACTACCCAGTAAGGCTTCTTTAAGAAAAAAATTTGAAGAGAGAGTCTGGAAGGTTGGAGAAACATTTAGTGAATTCATACATGAAAAAATTATCCTTGCCAATAGAGTGCCTATTCCTGAAGAAGAAAGAATCGATTATGTCATAGAAGGGATTCCGGATGTACAATTGCGCGATCAAGCAAGAATCCATCGTTTTCAGTCAATCCAGGATTTGTTGTCGGCTTTTGAAAGAGTGTCTCTGTCTAATAGAGACAAGCAGAGTAGCGCTGATTCGGAACTGCCAAAAACGAGTCGAGCTGAGCAAACACCGCAATCAACCGAACGAGATATCAAGTGTTATAACTGTGGAAAGTGGGGACACTTGGCATCTATTTGTACGAAGGAGAAGCGGCCGAAGGGATCGTGTTATGAGTGTGGGCAAATGAATCATGTAATCAGAGACTGCCCCCATCGAAAGCAGAGAGTGGAGAAGGAGGTAGCCATGGTGGAAAAGGAAGACGACTATCATCGCGTGGTAGAATTCGAAATAGAAGAGGACAGAGAGATTTTTTGTTTAAGGTATTGTACTCTCTTTGACAGCGGCAGCGCGGTAAGCTTGATTAAAAGAAAACTTGTAAAGAATGAATGGATTAAACAGTTAGATTATGATA